GTAATGACATACAAATGAATTGTTTATACGACACAATAGCTTTACTTTCGTATCAGGACAAATTATTAGCGAAAATTATGTAAAATTACTCAGTTACAAAATCCAAGAAATGATTAATTTTATCATACAGTTCATAAGTATTACAAAAACAAACAATGCAAAATTCATAAGAATTAAGAATTACGAAATCAAAAACATAGTAAATAAATGCGCAGTATTGCTAAAAATACATGTAAGTGTGTATTATAGATAATAACATAAACAAAGAGAACAATAAAAACTGTGAGGGCAGAACACAAAGGAACCGTTACAACTTGATTCGTCATACGCTGACGATTAATGGCAGTAATCTAGTTCACTACATCGGTGAATAAGATCGGATTTGAATAAAAAAATTATGACACGCTTGTTTTTTCCGATGAGACTTATTTTTTTTCGATAGTTAGGTTTTATTCTAAGGAGTCCCATGTTGAAAGTTTCGGACGCTAAGAAAATTAATATGAACATACGCCCGAAACATTATTTACAGGAGAAATAGAGAGGAATAAAGCTTGATGTCTTTACCTAATATTGCATAACTTGAAAGGTTTAGGTAGTCTATTTTTAGACCCAGGTAGCAATGACCGTCCATCGTCCAATTAATGCGTTGGACCTTGGCAATTAACCGCGACAGGAGTACGTATGGCTTCAGGTCTAACGTTTCATCCTCAAACCGAAGGCATTGCGGTTTTTGGCTTCACATTAACCACTGTGTTCCAATTTATTCTAGCCTCGATCAATCTTTATTTCGCATCATTGAGATCCTTTATTCGTTCTGCCTTTATTGATTTTCCGCGAATCCTTGAGCCGACGACGTGTTTCAGACGTAGGTATACTACTTACTTCTCACCTTGAGAATGTAACACAGAGCACGAAATTCGCAAAGCTTCGAGACTACTTAAGACTTGTACAAAGAAAGGCTTTAAGCTACAAATAATAAAGGAAACGCACATGTACAAAAAGTCTTGATCCTACAAACCGTCTGGCCTTGATCGATCCATGTGCGTGTGTCATTCTCTTTACAACTTTTGTCGGCGACAGTCGTGCCTTGAACCTCTTTTATAGCATTAAGGGAAGTCCGATATAGTAGTTCTATACGGCTACCTGCAGCTATGCGGTGTATTACGGTTGGACTAAGGATAATCTCGTTCTTACTTAGTATCCTTGTTTGTAAAAGAAATAGCGTTTGCTATAGATTTATTTCACACAGCGAAAAGTAAATGGTAGTCTATAAAAGCAATCAAAATAAATCAAGCGGAACGAAAGCGGGCGCGAAAGGATACAATAAAGATGTTATTATACAACACATGGAGGGTCATTACATACGAACCCTCGAGCTCGTCCCTCCAAATATTGAATGTCATACAGAATTGATGTTCCACCCACGGATGTCTGTCAAGAACTACATTCACGATTTTATGGATTACTTTTTAATGTCTATGAGATAAGAAACTGGGATATCTGAATGTTCTGCTGGCTGAACACTTTCTTTGATGTATTTGGGTTACGCTCAATTTGCAATAAGTAGAATATAATGTGCTGACAGATTCCGTCTCTTGTATGGTTCTTTTATATTTCTAAATTATCCGAAGTTTTCAAAAGCTCTACAAGTGCCACTGTGTCACTATGTTGCAAATTGTATCAGCTGTTTAGACTGGTGTATGAGTCAGATGTAATAGTTGAAATCAAAATATGTTTTGGTCTTAATTATCATCTTAAATCTTAAATCTCGTTATAAAGTAAAAGATTTATTTTCCTGATATATTTTTGTCTTAATAACCGACATCTTTGAGGTCAAAGTAATATCTTACGAAAGGGAACGTCTTTAATAATTCTGCGAACAAATTTTCTTTCTCGAACTCTCAGAAAGTTTGCTCGGTCCAGATGGCTTGGATACCGACATGGCTAGTAAGTGATAGCCATATGGCGTTCCAATCTCTTCGCAAATATTTAAAGCTCGACACTAAACCACAGCTAAACCCCGCGTCTTACCACCAAAAGGTTGTATTTTCCCATTTCATATTCTGCGAAGAGTTGTAAAATAGACGTTGAAACTTTTACAACGGCTTTAGCTCCCCTTCCTAGCTTCCTATGATATTAAGAATGATCGCGTAAGCATATTAACTTTTCATATCTGCATACATTTACCTGTAAGGTTCGTCTTATTCGTATCAATAGAATACATCTGTTAATAAGAAACACGGACGCGCTGTCTGAATAATTTATAAGCCCTAGTCAATATTAATGACGTAACTTTTCAACTCTGATTACTTATCTCCGAACGTGGTATCCATAATTAATATCTAATCGAGAGGAGTCCTTAATTACCATTATTTTGTTTGCCGACTCTCTACTGCTGTCAACGGTACCCTTTAATTGGTTTTAATGTCACCCGGACCCATTAACATTACTTAGTTTAAATTTATCGTACCCAAGCGTTCACTGCACTGCCGGCTCTATTAACACGTAATCTGTTTCTTTTCTTTACTGTATCTCGATCCGCAGTACACAATATGTTACCATTCCAAGTTATTTAACTCACGTATGTCGACCTCTTACACGTTCCCACTAAGTTACTTTAGATGTCTGGACCGACATAAACGAATGAAACTCTTCAGATATAATTCCGAAAATATCCAGTAAGATAATGCTCGTTGGGAGTTTATGTTAGGCTGTGTCTGCGTCAAAATACAGGGTCGGTTATGTCTAACCATTGCTAGAAACAAGGCAAAATCGATACTGTTGCCGTCGCAGGCGGACGCGCGCCGCTGGCTCCGAATTATATTCGCAGCCAAATCCAGCCGGCACGTGACCCAACTTGTTGCCGCTCCGGAGAGAGACAAAGCTACATTATTATAGCTTGCATTACCAGCGTGGTGAGATCGTGGCACCCGATGGCGGATTATTGACCATTATCTTAAGTGCTCCATTTAAATTGTTTGAAGCACCATTGACACCCTTATGGCTGCTGCGGTTTCACTTTACACTTTACTATGACAATTGTATGCAGGCGTAACATAGGTAAAAATTAATTATGATTTGATTGCATTGTATTGTATCTTTCAAAGTTAAGTTAAACTAATTTTAAAACGAAAAGCTTAAGTAGTGACACTACGACAGAACTGGTTAAAGGTCTATCAGGTACTTCAAAATAATCTACCAATGCTAATTGAAGAGTTAACATCCAAACTAAAACAAAATAATAAATATATTACCGACGTATAAAAACTAATTATTATCGCTACCGCATCGCCCGTGAATATGACTGCAGCGTGTGCTGCACGTATAATAAGGCTCTAAGCAAGAATTTATTTAATCTTGTTGTCCCACGGTGGGCGCCACAATGTCGCCTATATTAAAACATTTTTTAATAAAGTCATTTAATTTCGGTAATCCTTGTTTCTACCTTACAAAAAAAAAATCTGTACAAACTTATCTTGTTTTTGAAAGTTTGAAATAATTATATCTTAATTTCATAGCTAAAGTTAGATGTAAATAGAAGCCTCAGAAAATTTTATTAGTCACCTCTCGGCGTTGACTCGACGACAAACTTTTATTGAGGAAACTAATTTATCACTGCGGTGATATGATCTATGGAACGCAGTCGTCGAGGGAGACCGACTACCGGTATTATCTTGAATTTCATGTTCTTTTGATGGAGTGTTCACAAATTGTTGGGGCTTTTATGTCATCCCCCACATTATTATACAGTCTGTAAATTGACTTTTTGTTCAAGCTATAGGCGCTCGTACCTTGTAACTTGTAAGCTTGTTGTAGTAATGAGATATTATACATGACGGTTTTAACTAGAAACCTAGCATTGTAGAGTATCTTCTGTATTGTTGGTGTGCAACTATTGGGCATGAATGTTAGTATCGTCAGCCAGGCGGACGCCTGTCGCGCCGGTATTTCCACAGCTCTGTCGACTCTTGTCCTTATGCACCGGCCGAACGAGGTTCGCTCCTGGTATTCCCAGTTATTACCGCAGGGGGACGCGGTCTAGAGGTTGTTGGCCGGAATCGATCCACCGCACCACAGCCCGTGTTACCGGTGCACGGGGTTACGACACCATCACCACTGCAGTCTTCTGTTTCATTTCTCTCTTGCACCGGGCTAGGTAAGCCGTTTCCTTAGCTATTTCGGGACACCAGACTTAACCTTACTTTTCTTTTGTTTGTCTTATGTCGTTGAGCTACTTCAAGGTGTTGAAGTCCTAATGTGGCTAGTAAGTCATTCATAGAGTGATAGATTTTAAGAACAGGAAATCAATCGGAAGCAATTCGAGTGGCGAAACAAATTCAGCGTGGCGTTGCCGGCTGTTAATTGGCTGCGGGTGGCGGCGCCGAGACGGCGGCGGAACCTCCGCATGGAGGCTCCCTCGCGTGCCCTCCCCACGCACGCGCCCGTCACCCCCCGACAGCTCGGCGTTTTTATGAGCGAGAAGTCCGTCGAGACCCGCACGAGTCTGGGCGGCTCTTAAATTAGTTTGTCTTCCCCGACCCTAGACCTTGTAGTTGCTAGGTGCCAGTTTCACCTAAATTTCATATTCTTGTTCTATCCTGAAAACTTCAGCTTGAGCTACATCATTACTTGGGTATTAGAGTCATTCAAACGTTTACAGCATCGCTGTCGAACGTTGACGTTTTCTAACATGTAAATCTGCCTTTTTGTACGGGATCTCATATGCAGCGACTTGATGCCTCGTAATACATGTCATGGGTGACATTATTTTTCCATTTGGTAGGCTTATTTTCTTGTGCGGGTTATCAAGTTAGGGACGGTAGCGCGCAAGGGGTGACTGCGGGGTGGGTCCGCAGGGCGGGGGTTGCGGGACGCGGGGTGTAGCTATCGACCGGCTGCCCTCCCCCCGGCGTGGCTCAGTTTCCGGGCGAGAGTCGCGCAGTCCGCCAGCGCCGCGACGCGACTCCGTCACACGTTAGATAGTCAATTTGATCATCACCATGCTGATAGGGCTCGTTCGGGACTCGGTGATGCAGTGCTTCTGCCACTCATGCCGCGCGCCCGTATTGCCTGCAGGTTGGAAAGAAGCTACTATGGACTTTTTCATCGTATTCCATCATAAATTCGACCGGCGACGCTGTTGCTACTCTCTAAAGTTGGAGACAAACGCCCTACGTTGTTATCTGGCCTAATTTTATTTTCTAAATCTAAATTGTATGCCCAAAATTTCCCCAGGAAAGGCAAAATAGAAGGTAACCTCTTTGATTGGTCTTCTGTGACGTCTCCAGGTTCTTAGATACTGGGAAACTGAAGGTATGGTAATTGCTATTCCTTTATGCCTATGTGCTTTATCGCACAGTTCATAATATTTGAGCTTTGCTGCCTTATGATTTCTGTTATTGAGTCTTCACAACCACCGGCCGGCCGGCAGGGGGAGGGGTGCCGGCCGGCGCCTATATTTAAATTGTATCTGACGTATATCACGTGATCCATCGATTACGAACAAGGGACAATGTTTTGTTGGATGACAATTGCTGGCTACATCGTTATGATAACAATAACGTTGTAATGTCATTGTTTATGTCTTTGGCGTGTTAAATAACAAGAATTTTCTCAGTTATGTAAGGATTGGACATCTCGCTATTGCGTATTTACTAAATTCTAGCAGGTACGCAATATATTTCACAATTATAAAGTTTGGAAGATTAATTGTACATTCGTTTTTATACGACGTAGAATAGTATTTGTAGGAGACGTAAGGGCTGGTGAGTGCTGAATCATGTTCGAGCTTTTCCACTTCTACGGATACCTGTCAGTCCGTGCCGGCCTCACTACAACTATTGATTAAACATTACTGCATAATGTCCACCATTTTGTACCGACAACGAATCGCGATACTGTGGCACGCGTCCACCAGACTGCGCACTGAGTTTTCAAGACTTCTACATTTGTCTGTAACACCACCCATTGTATTTACCTTGAAGAACATAATTTCTTACTTACGTCTTACGTAATGAACTCGGATTCCGTAATATTCAAGCAGTTCAAACATACTCGTCCTGGGATTTCGGAAAAATGGCTGTTTTCACATAATATCGTAGGCTTGATTAAATAATGTCACGCAATCGCGACATAATCACTTTACTAGACCCTTCGTAAAATGTTTTGGAATTTCATGCGTCACTACGCACGCGTTCGAAGACCGCGTGTCGACTTTATTATTGCGGGCTTGTTAATTAACGAGATTTTTTAAAGTTTTCAACGTTTATACTACCTATCCATTACCCAGATTGCAAAACCGTTATTAATGACTGACTGAGCAATTACCCTGTGAAAGATTTCATTAGTATGATTCTCAAATTGCAACTTACAAAATAAATTACTTTTAGTAAGTACTGCGATCTGTCGGAATGATTTCAAAGTTGGATGAAATTCCTTTTACAAGTATAATGGAAGACGTACGTACCATTATGGAACATAAAAACAGAATACGAAATTATATTTGAAATAGACCCAGACGCGATATACCTGCTGAATTATTGATGTTCGAGGTATGAAACTATTCATCGATCCCGTCTGTGCAAAGCGAGGTGCCCAACTTTACGACTTCAAAGCTTAAAAAACCTAGGTTTACGGTCCATACAACTGGCCTTGGGCATGCGATTTATTAGTGAATTCTTCAGAAACCTAATTAAGGACCTATTCGTTACAACCGCAACGAATTCTCTAGCACATTTTAGTGCCTACTGGAGTCATTCGTGATATGAAATAGCTTCTTAATTAACGCTACATGCGTTACTTTACTTTACAATTAATCATCATGCCTTAATACACTTCGTAACGTCATAAAATGCTTGTCACTACATTGAGCTCTTGAATTAGCAAACACGCTATTGTGAAGCGACAACGGGGGACACCAGATCACATAATTGTTTAGGGGACGATTATAACAGTAGGGTTTAATTGGCTTAACAGGTTCTACACCCTTTGTGGAGGGTTCGGCAAGGCTTACATTTTGATCATCTTTATTACCTTGTCATTGTGCTTAATAAAAACATTACTTTTACGTTGTGATTCATTATGATGAACGTGTTAAATAAATTATTGTCGTTGGGGGGTCCATAAAGGAACCTAATGCAGGGAGGGTTGAAGTTTACGCGTTTTTTATTCGGATATGAGACGACACACGTTATTGATCTCGTATGAGGGTTGAACAATGCTATAAAACACGTTTCATCTCATGCATGGGATCTTTCATTTCATACATGGGATCCAACGTGTGTTATTTCGACTTTATGGCATATATGAGCAGGATATGTAATCGAACAGCCACCTAGGTTCCTTAGACTTTCTATAAATACAAAACGAACGGTTTTCGAATTTCGGCTACACATGTCTAGTAGTGCAGGGTTCTATGCATTTGATGTCCAACGTTATTCTGTTCTACCAACAAACTTAGTCTTAGCCCTGGATGGTATTACGACTTCCATAGACGTAATAATTTTCATCCCTACTCAGCTTTTTACAGCGAATGGTTTTAAAAATAACACTTTGACGTCGTATGCCATAAAACGGGGTTGCACACAAAGTCGCACCCATTTTCCTAATGAGCGTAACTCGTAAAGAGGACGTCAGTGCCGTCTCCACCGCTGTGGAATACTCTCAACGGTGCATAGAATATATCTCTTGTTTCTGCATCAGCTAGCCGCCCGCATTTGCGCCGTGCTTAAAACACTCGTACGTGCCAACGCTCGTATTCCCAAAGGTAGTAAATTTACTTTCAGCTCTCCCCTCAAGGGTTTTAAAGCTAGCCTTTAAATATTTTATCAGGTTTTCCACGTTGAATCGTGTGGCGCCGAAGGGGACTGCCCGTCGACCTTTCAGCTGTAACGGCCCTGTTTGTATTCGATTACCATACTTTTTGCTTTATTGTTTTAATGCACGTTCATTAAATTACTTTTTTATACGCTGCAACTCTGTTGAATATGGATGAAAGATTATATTGATCAGAGCATTCAAGTGAAACCGGCACGGGCTGAAGTCATATGGGTTTTTATTCATGAAATCTGTTTATCGAAATTTCGCTTCAATTTGCCGAGATGTCGTGCTTGTTATAAAAAAGCTCATTTTCGTGTCTTTATAAACAGTAATTAAATACAAATCATCAGTATTCTTAACGTTGTGTATAATTTGTATTCCTTTGAGTTGATACCTAAGCCTAACTTTTAGTTACTCAGGTCTAGATTTAACATTCTCATCACTGTCTTCGGTTACGTAAACCGTCAGAGATTGAAGCGGTTCACCGCAATGATTTCGCCTCGTTTCTAATTTGCGACAATCGTGATGAAAAGGGTTTAAATTACACAGAATTTAGAAGACAAATATCTCATGACGTCTGTTTTGACGTGAATTATGGCGAAAGCTAATTAACTTTTGTTGAACAACCCTCTCGAGACGTTCGTGCAATCGCAAATATTGTTTTCATTACCATTGTTGGGTTTCAACCTACTTTGATTTTATGAAATTTCTTAGAAAGGTATTGATCCAATCCAATTACGTTTTGTTGTCTAAGGTTTTTTCATTTCACTAATAAGTTGCCTTTTCAATCTGATATAACTAATACAATAAATGTTACAATATAGCTGCTTTTTTTCTCTACACCTACAGGGGATCCTATTGGGGAGATTCCTCAACAGCGAAACATTCCAGCCTACCCATAATTAACAAGGGTCTTACCTTGTTTAAACTTTGGCCATGAATTGGCTGCGAATTAAAGTTTTAAGTAGACTTAGCTGTTTGTATAGCATGGTCTCCGCACCGTCTGCTGTGTAAACTGGGACTTAGCACTGCCGTGAGGGATTATCCGTATTTGCGGCGAATTTCGTCGACACTAACATTCCCCTCACGTAGCGGCCTCATCTCCCGACGTCGTGTCGTCGTTATTACCTCGATACTATTACCGAGACGTCCCCAACAACATGAGTTGGAACCCAAATATCTAATAAATTACTATTCATTTGCGACCTCGCTTTACAAGTCTAAAACTTTAATGCTGTTTCACAAAAATGGATTTGTTAACAATAGAAGCTATGAAACGTTATTAATGTTTATACTGTTATTGTTACTTCAATATTATTAGTTAATCACTTATGATATTACCAAAAATAATGTAATTGACCTTGGGAGGTCACCTTTTGTGATAGCTTGAGGCGAATTTCATTCAATCCAAGTCATCTTATTAATAAGTTACATTACACAAATAAACCGATTAAAAATACACTGACAACCTGACGACTATTGAAAGAAATTCAGGAAATTTGTAGTAAAACGTCGATATAATGTATGTGAACACGTCATGTACTAATTAGTTGGAAGCTCTCCTACTCCATGGTGGATGGTGGATATTAGCTCGGTACATGTTATGTAGACTGCGACAATTTGTATCGATTGTTTGTTCACCACAATCGATGCTTTCTACCAGTCACGCAACCAATACCGATTCATTAAAACGTAGGTCCGACTCGGAATGTTCCTCAAATACACATTAGTTGGGTCGAATCGACCGATGTAATGGTTTTTCGATTGTCCTTTAGTGATGTTTTGGGAGAGTTTGCGTTGGCAATCGGGGGCTGGTTTTTGGTGTTATTTGCAAATAGTAACTGTCGTTTCTATGTCTGTGGGTTTCCCTTGCCATGCTTTGTTATACATTCAAACATGCGAACTATTATGGTCTATCCTTGACATGAATATTTTGGATTTCGATATTGAATACCGTAGGGTTTGTTTGTCTCCAAGAGAGTGGTCGGCGTCGCGGGCTCGGGCTCCGCTGACTGCCTCTTTCTCTTCCTAGCTCACCGACGGTCGGCGCCCGTCAAGAAACCAGTCGGCAAACCGAGGACCAAGCAACCCAAGAAGGTCAAGTTTATAAGTAAGTATATTTTTCACAGGAAAATAAGGCGATTTACTCTCAAGGGAATGCTTCAAAGTTAATCACGAGGTAGCGCCTCGCAAATTATCTAATGCTATTGTTTATTATTTCACTGATACTTCATAAATCTACAAGAATAAAAAAGTCGTGAATACTAATAAGACCAAAGCTTAAGTTTATTATAAAATGGTTGATCCGGAGATATAAAGCACGTTAATATGAAGCAGACAGCCATTTGGAAATGTTTCAATTTGGCTGCCAAAAAAGTTAACTTGTTTTAGTTCAAAAAAGCACTTAGTACAGCGGTAAAGCGAAGAATCTGTTCACACTGCTGCCAAGATTTTATAGAATAGCTTGAGACGTGTTACTTCCGTTTTCCTAAACCGTAACATACATGTATAAGTTAAACAAACTGACACAGTCACAGTAAATGAAGTGCACACATTCCCCTAGAAAATACGTAACGTTGGTTAACTTTCAATTCAATAACTTATATCGGGTTAGTTGGAGACGTCCTTCTCGGTTTGCACCGCACTTTAACACTCCATTTGCTCACAATTCTCCTTTGACTCGCTGAGCATATACAGGGTGAGATCCCTTACAAAAGACACTATGTACACAGCCCGGGGGATGTGAGTCCCCTTTGTGTGGCGGGTCAAGAGTTTTCGCCGCCCCCCTTTAAGTGAGTTATTGTTAGTTTTGTATTGTGGCGCGTGTTTGCTTTTTTGAAGCCCTTTTCATGTGTACGAGTGAAATTCCTACGCTTATTAAAGACCCTTGACTCTGTTTCCCACTACTTTCGTGCTTGCACAAGTTATATGTCTAGCTAAAAATTAATGGGCCTGTTTTAGTTTACATTATTGCAAATGCCGAATCATTGTATTCAGTACGAACATTTCCAAGTTCGAATAGTTCAATATAAGTACGTAGACCTTATCAGAAATTCACCCCATCCCCTGTAGCCACGGGGGTGAGTCACCTGTTTTCATACAGACGTAGTTTGCGGATACAGTCATACTCTGAAACGCGACTGAAATGCAATTGGCATGATTCATAAGAGGGAGTCGGGAGTCCCGTGTCTCCTCACACCCTTCCTATAATTATACAATACATTCCTTACCACAACGAAGTTTATCCGACCTTGAATATAACCGTAATTTACCTCTTACCCCATTGCGTTTTAAGAATTCTTCCCTTAAACGTCGGGGGCGGTAATTTAATGAGCTGAGCGACTGTATTCAGGTGGAGACGTTAATTAACGCCTTTAAAATTACGCTAAATTTGTGAAATATTTGAAGAAAATTAGGGTATGAACTGAAATGAAACGTAGTGTCACGAAGAAATGGAAATGTAGTCATCGGCTTACATGTTTGCATGTTGCATGAAACCGACGCAACTTAATTCTGTCTACGCAGAATACTTGTAGAAGTTTGAGAACTTGTGAATGTCTTTTAAAGCTCCAATTACATACCGTAACTCGGAATTAGATGTACAATGATTGAAATTGTTAAAGTTTTCTGTAACTGGGCTGTTTGAACACACTCGTAGCGGTGCGGTATTCCAATTTATTTTTAAAACAATTTGGACCCAAAACAGCGCCCTGGGTCGAACCTTTGTCAATTTTAGCAAGTAGGTATTTGCGTAGTTGCGAAGGTAGATGTCTTCTATTTATAGTTTATGTTGGTGTTTTAAGAGCAACGCGCAAGTAATACGGGTTATTTGTACTTTAATACCTAACATATACTATTGTACTATTATAATTGGCTTCATAAATAAAATTATATGAACCTTAATATTTTCGTAATTTTCGTAGTGTGAAATAAAATTAGCAGCAACTCACAACAAAACCTTTAGTCTTGAAGACCTATACAGGTTTCAATAATATACATAGCTATTAAAAGATTTTCACAGTAACTACCCCTCATTGTTTATTGTCAAAAGAGAATTCTTTAAAGAATTTGTATAATGTTTGTGTACTCGTGTATTACGCGCATCCATTGTTCGTTCAATTTGCGTATATGCTCATCATTATATGCGGCGCCAGAGATGCGTTTCGTCTCAATAGCCAATCGTAATATGACGTGGAATAATGTTACGCACACAATTACCTATTGAGATATTTTGTAAATCTGAGTTATATGTAAATTGTATTATAACTTTTGTGAGACATACTAAATAAATTATTAGGTTTTCGGCTTACTCACGTAATTTAACGAGGAACTCTACTAGTTTCAAGCCATCCTACAGTAGCACTGCGACAGTCGCCGCGTCTCAGGTCGCGAAATGCTGCTCATGAATATGCGCCTCTAGCATGGCTTGAAACTAGTCGAGATCCTCGTCAAATAATTACGTGAGTAAGCCGAAAACATAATAATTTATATATGTAAATTAGAAAGTGTTTTTAATTATATTATTTACCATTGAAGCTGTATTACACCGAAATAGACAATTCATTCAGAGTTATTGAACGAATACTTAAGTAATTCAAACTCGGTTGACAAGTAATTAGCTTGGTATTTATGACCGTGTATGATCACTGTTATAGTAGCCATTACCAGAGTTATATGAGCATCCCTATATTCAGAGGCCCTAGTATGAGTTTGTTTTACGTTAAAATAGATAGAAACGAGACTGCCTTCGGCGCTCCGATTGGTTAGATCATTGGAGGCGGCCAATCAGAGCGCCGAAAACGCACTCGTTTCGATTACTTTAAACGTGAAACAAACTTGTACTATAGTCAGAATTTTAATTAGATTCCAGATTTGACAATAGCTACTGTCATTTTGTGAAATAATGATACCACATACAATAGTGTAGTGATGCACACAAAAATCGATAAACAATCAGTGTGTGTGTTTTATAATAAATGTTACAGAAAGTGACAGGATAGCGATAGCAATGACGGCGACAATTTATAAAATAACTTATTACCATAATACATCTATCTGTTTTATTTGTCATGTTCCTTCATGATTACATTTTTTTATTTATTTCACACACAATTATAAACGAAAAGTCTTAGATCGTTAATTAATCGTCAAAACTAAATTATCGGTTCAGAAATATTTAATTTACTGATATACTTAGTTTACGAGAGTAAAATTATAAACGAGAAGAATCGATCCAGAAATATTACTTTTCCATATCGAATAATTTCGCAACGTCACTATTTAGTACTTGTCATAACGTTGCAACACTGAAATTGTCAAATCTGGAATCGAATTAAAATTCCGAGTATAGGGCCTCAGTTTGTAGAAGGGATACATTGTGTAACATAGCTATAAATGTCTTAATTATGGAAGTCTATTGCCACATCAAAACTTTGAAAAAAGAACGTATTCATTTTTAAATGGTTGGTCGGTAACGTACTTGTGCCTCCTTTGGTATTGCGCGTGTCCATGCGTGGCGTCGATGGCCTACCATTAGCTGAATACTTCACATTTGCTCCCACAAGACGCCCGCTTCTCATGCATGAGGGTGCGGATTCGAAACCTACCAACGGCAAGTACCAATGTGACTTTTTCCGAGTTATATGTACTTTCTAAGATTATTTAGACACCACTAACAAACGGTGAAGGAAAACATCGTGAGGAAACCTGAGCTTATAATTTCTAATTATAAGTTTGAAATCCCGCATTGAGCAAGCGTGGTGATTAATGCTCTAACCTTCTCCGTGTGAGAAGAGGCTTTGCTAAGCAGTGGGCATTTATAGGCTGTTGATGATGCTCCCACAAAAACAGCTTACAACTATTAAAAGGACATTAAATCAATTTCGATGCAACACGTAAACGACGACTATTCGATGTGTAAAATCGTAAACATACGTATTGACATGAGTAAGTAGGTATGTTAGTACTTCACTTACAGGAACTGAAGAATACTAAGTTACGTCGGTCAATAAACTATCATTTATTTACAAAATATCGTCCAAACAGTACGTCACTTCCCGTGTATCACTTTATAGTCTTCAAACATTCGTTTAACAGCATTACTATTATTAAACTAGCTCGTTGGCCGAGTGGTCGCAAGTGCGACTGCCGGCCATGGAATCTCGGGTTCGATTCCCGGGTCGGGCAAAGTATAACTGGATTTTTTTAAAATTCTCAGTTGTGGGTCGGACTCTGGAAACAGTTCCAGAGTCCGGGGCGTCCGGGCCTGCGCCCGGACGCCCCGGACTCATAACATAATTAGTGAAAAGTGGGGGTTACATTGTACATTGGCCTTAAAGTGTAGTATGCACCTCTGCATACCCCTTCGGGGATAAAAGGCGTGATGTTATGTATGTACTATTAAACGATTAATTAGAAACAGATAAACAGTATTTTTCTAAAACATTTAATGATTTTATCATAGCCAAATAAAATGTAATGTAGGGATTCGCGGAGAACCTAACGGGTAACCGGGGCTCCGGCTCGACGTGCAGAAGAAGGAACGGGGTGGTTTTTAGTAAGTAAGAGTCTGACACTGCCTCCCGCCTCACCCAGGCAGGAACAGTCATTCGATGATTTTCCCCCCTTAAAAAAAAAGGGATTGCACTTCATATCGAAGTCAAGTGCATTGTGCTCTCTAATCAGAAGTTGAAAGCAATCAGTTGCTACCTACTGTTATTCAGAAGGTAGTTGGCAGCGCAGGGCCGTGGGATGTAATAGTAGTCCTTCTACAAAGACGTCATAAGGGGAAGGTTTTTCTACACAAAGATTAATCTGTTCTCCATCTTAACTTCATCTGTTGTCCTCAGCTACTGAGATCCGCTGCCAAGAGATGTCGAAGGGCGGTCTCGCGTACGAAGTGATCCTGGCTGAGCCAGTGGGTGTGCCAGTCCCTCGCCGCGCCGACTCACCTGAGAAGACGCCTTCCGTTGAGGAGATTCAGGAGAAGTTGAAGGCTGCCGAGGAGAGGAGACGTGTAAGTAGAACATGATAGTGTCTCCCAGAGAATACATTTGAGTATTCTAATCTATTTTATACGTTGTTTATTAGTCTTCATTGATACCAAGACTAGAAACCGAAGAGCTGAACTTTAATGGGGATGATGACAGGGTATGAAAATTAAAAATATAATTAGTCCGTAAGTTAGGTAATGAAAAAATAATAAAACAATACTTAGATAAAAGGTATAATAAAACAATACTTAGATAAAACGAATCAAAGTTTAGGAGTGGGGGCTAAAACGTCATTTCTTAGTATAAAATGTACTGAGAAGTGACGTCACGCGACATTTCAAATCAATATATCTTCGAAACTATTTGTTTCTGTGAGAAAATAAAAAATACGTGTCTAATGTTTTTAAATAATCTACCAGACGGACATTAAAATAAAAATTAGTCGTCTACCCTATTATAGGTCTATTCGAAATAAACGGGTCTATCAAGTTTTAACAGTCCAATAAATACGCTAAACGGAAAAATGTTTTGGTATTTAAAATTGTTTTGACTAAATCCATCCTATAATATACTCTATCAACTATCCTCAGAGTTTGGAAGCCAGCAAGATGGCGGCGATTGCACAGAAGATGCAGAAGATAGAAGAAGCATCCCGTATCCGCAGCGAACAAACGAATAACTTCATTGTGAACACCAAGGAGGCTCTGGACGCTAAGATGGAGACACATGAGGAGAAACGCGAGGCGTACATCAACGAACTGCGCGCGCGTCTCAAGGACCATCTCGAGGGTGTTGAGAAAACTAGGTAATGTGGGATTTGCAGTTTTGACCCTATTCTGCACTATTGGCCTGTCATTGAGCTCCATTTTCTTGTTTTTTTATTCTTGTTTCATTTGCTCAATGTCTTTTCCACATTCCCGCAGGCTGACCCTGGAACAGCAAACGATGGAGGTTTACAAGGCGATTGAAGAGAAAATGAACACCGCCGCCGACAAGCGCGATGAAAACATCAAGAAGATGCTCGAACGCCTTCGTGAACATGTAAGTCACACTTCCATTATAATCATATTGTAAAACACTTACCAAAAAGATCCAAAAGAAGATCAAGGAACAATACAATTATTATGCTGTCCAGTCTCATCCTCTCTTTCGTTCAGTAGTCCACTAAGGATCATGATTATAGTTCAGTACTGTTGTTATAGATGAGTTCATCTAGCTTAATATTTGGCAGACAGGCTGCAGATCAGGTTTATGCTACGCTGTCCGATCTCTGTCAAAGTAGGTCCTAAAGCCCCTTAGTAACTGCTGACACCCTTCCGTCTCACCCAGGCGGGAGCAGTCATTCGATGATTTTCCCCCCTTAAAAAAAAATCCCCTTAGTAACTTAGTCGGATCTTACGGCACTATCAGGTTTCAAAGAGTTCAGAATTCAAATGTATTCTTCTCTGCAGTCGTGTATTCGAATATCTAAAAATAAACCCATGTCCTCGTCCACAGGAGGAGCAAGTACGCAAGGTCCGCGCAGGTAACCATGAGCGTTTCCAGCAACTGGAGAGCGCCATTCAGGAGAAGCTGCAGCAGGCCGCCGACCGCCGCCTCATGCTCGAAGCCGAACAAAAAGAGAAACTGCGCAACCATGTAAGTTTAAAACACCAACTGACCGAACTATGCAGCTCCTTACCAAGAAATTACAATAGGCACGTCAGTCCTAATATCAACGAAGAGACGTTGGACAAAGTTACACAGACCGGCACATCAAGCTGCCTCTAAAATAATTTAATACTTACAAAGAAATAAAGTTGAAAGAAATATGACTGGTTCTTTAAACGTAATATTTTTTGTTTTCTCTCAGTATACATACTAAACTTGTATAAAAAAATGGAACTGTTAACATTTTTGAGAGGACTGCCTGTTGTGAGTTTATGGTAAAGCTTAAAATATAATGCTTTCGTTATGTTCTGTGATTACTGTATGTCGTGTCGACCAAAAAGTTAGGAAACAGTCAAGTTTTAAAATAATGGGAACGTAATATGTTGGTTTGAAAAATGGTTCTATTTTAGACTTGACTGGAGAGTCCATGGTAAGCTTTCCGGATATGTGTTGTACCTCGTTGTGGACCTTAGGTCTTAGGTGTTCTGTTTGTATGCCGGCTGCGGCGGTTCGAACTGGTTTCAAGCGGATTGTGAGGTAAACAAAGTTACACTCTTCACTATTCGCTGGGTGGGCTTCCATAATCATTATTTTTCGTTCTGGCAATACTAGAAAATTCATAATTGTGTGCCTAGTACAAAAAAAATGCAACGTACTTGCTAAATTGGTAATTAAGTAATTATTAATTACTGCTTTTCAAATTATTTTTCGGGGAAAACTGGCTTTCACGCAAAATTTTAGAAGAAAACCAAATCAAACCGTTTCAGCCTTGTTCATTGTCTCATTTCATTTTTATTTCTCATTGTCATGGCATGTGTTATGCATGGTTGTTTTTTACTTTTATTTTTGTTTTTGTTCGATGCGTAAACGCAGAACCAAAAGCTAGCCGAGGTGCGTTCTGCCGCTACCGCGAAGGTCGAGGAGATTACTAAGGACATCGAGACCAAACTGACCGCCGCCGAACAAAACCGAGAGAAGGAAATGCAGAAAAAGCTGGACTTCGTCAAAAAGGAGGTCTGTTTAGACTTTGATTAACATAGAGGGCACTGCACTCGAATTAAAGGAGTTCAAATTTTTGCATGCACTTTAATGAAGCCATGTGTTATACCATACCTGATTCGCGTTATTTTATGTAAGAAATTATATAAGAAAAGTAACTGTGAACGAAAATTAGGTCAGCTATGTTGAAACTTTCAACCCTTGCCATGTCGCGGTGATGGGTAAAGAGCATAGAGCCACTTGCATGACTTGCATATTATTCTTGTATAGCTAATCAGGGCACTCAAGTGGAACGTCCTTCGAATTATTGCTTCTCATCATATTAAATTACTCCTTCTATTAAGTAGAGCGAATTAAATTAAGTCCAACACATCATTTTATATACTCGATTTTCTATAGTAAGGTTTTTAGGCCAAAAGTGGATGTTTGATTAGGTTTGCTGTTGTAAATTTTACTTAATAAGACTTAATGCATTTACCTTCGTAAGAATATTGTAAACTTGTCCAAATCTATATTGTAAGAGCTACGAATAGTAGAAATGTAGTCTAACGCTGATATATCTCCACAGGAGCGACGCGCGGAGCTGGTCCGACAGAACAAGAGCGCGCGCGTGGAGAGCGCGGGCGCGGGTGCGGGCGCCGCCACGTCCGGCTAGAGGGCGCCACTGCACACCATACACTCCACCACACCTCCACGTGACGAGCCAAAAGACTCATACCACAACTCAAAACATGCCCAACTATCAGCGCCATCTGACGACACTATCTTAGTGTTGCCATGTGCTAAAATCTCTTAGCGTTGTCGGAAATCGCAAGTCGTTAAGACGGTCGCTTAGCGAGCGTTTGTGCGCTCTATTCGCATTTATGTAGTGTACATCTCTGTTAGGTGTCGTTCAGTTACAACTTTAAGGTTTGCGTTGGCGGAAGCCATTGAATGAATATGAACTGGTTTGTCGTGGCCCAATTAATGATTGAAAAGACTTCGTAAATTACTAAACATTCTCCAAAAGACGAGTTGGCGTCGTTGGAACAACTGATGATATTTGTGATTGCAGTGCTGACACGTCTTTTGCTGATAATGTTTGTAATTCATGGCATAGATTTAAGGTCTTTTGGCTGGTCCAGTAGCAAAATTTGTACTTCGGTGTATAACGTGGAAGCGCCATTAGAAGGCCGATACTGCGTCGGTGTTGTAACATGTAAAAATATTGTGATAAAATTAAAAAAAAAATATATTTCTCTAATATTGCACACCGTACAGCATCCTCACAATATTTGTGTTACACCCCCCGACGCGCTTACTTTGAGACACCAAATAATGTCCCTCGTGATCATGCTTACGACATCTTTGATTCTAAAATTAAGTTATGAAATTATTTTCACTAAGATATGGCAACATTGCTGTACACTTTAAATAACAATAATTATGGCCTATTTCCAATTATTTACCTAATTAAATATGTCTTAGTCGTGATCCCACTTGAAACCAACTTTTAGTATTCCAATAGAACATTTTATCCATTTTACTGCAATGTAACACCTGTCTTGGTATACTAAAATTTGGCTACTCACATTCAGGGTTCTGTACCTAAAAAGCCGCATATTTGCCTATTATTTTTATATGACCACGTTTTAATTTAATGTACTCTCTAGTTACGCAGAGGCTAGCTATCTGTTTTTAGTACGGAACCCTTGGCAAATTAAACGATTGATGAGATTTGTAAGCAAGCTGGCGGGACGAAGCTTGATGGTGAAGCGAGAAGTATCCCTAATCGTTAGATATAGACTTATATCATTATTTTTAATGTTTATCATACGCAACAGTATTTTTAGGGAGGTATAATCTAAATTTAAGTTTTATCATGTTCTTTAACCGTATCGCCGTAACGCTATTAACTGGCCATTAACATTGAAACCATTATTTTGAGTTGTGTTGTCGATGAGTGTCGGAAGACTGTCGTGTCGCGGGTTGTTTGTGGCTGCGTTTGTTTCGTCGAGTCGGTCGTTGGAGCGTCGGACTGCCACGGGCGGGGCCCGACCAGTCTGCGCGACGCCACAACATCTAGTCTACAACGTAAATTAAGTCGTCTCACTTCCTTTTATGATCTCAGTCGGTACAATAAACATAATAGTTGGATCGTTAGTTGAATAGTTAACCAGCGGAAGTGCCTCAGTATATTCGGTAATTGGCTCTCGGATAATATCAATAAAGTGTAACGTATAAAACTGCCTTCATAGCGTTTTATATTTTTTTAATTGTAGATGGCGAGGGCGCCGGGCCGCGGACGTAATGGTGTGTTGGACACAAACCGCTTCTGTGATGTTTTTGCTCTAGTGATATTATGTATCGTATCGTTCGGTTAGGCACAAATTATATCGACACGGACGCTCCGTACTTGCGCATGACGTCGGGACGGGAAGGTGTACGACGCGGGTTTGTCGCTCGACTGTGTAGTGAGAGTATTCCTGTATTTTATAGTATATTTTTGCCATTCATTTAGCGTCGGTCTGTTTTATCGTCAAAGATATGATAATAATTGTATATAATATAAGAGATGATGTATCGTTGCTTGGCGCGGGGAGCGCGGCGGCGGCGGCGAGTTGCTTGCCTGCTTCTACTATGTTACTAACGCTGATATGAGTAAGGGAACTAGTTGTAAGTTACTAGCTTGTTTCTCGGTGAAGAAGTGAAAACCTCTGACCAATTTGCCTTGGGTATTGTGTAGCCTTTTAGATTCTCACGATCGAGACGAATCATGTATAGCGATGCAACATATAGCTTTCAGATGATTATATTTTTGTTTTTCGTAATTTTTGCGTAATGTTAGTCACTCTCCTATCTCTTATTATGGTGTTATTATCGTTAATTTTTATATTTTATGTGATTAATTATATTAATGTGCTTCAGTTTGTGAGGTATATGAAAATTGCTGTTTGAAGTGCAGGCAACTTTTGTAGTTTCATTGTCGTATTAAATAAAGTCATAAATACTAATGAATTTGTGTTTTTTTCTCACTTAGTTCCTCTCCCCTCTTTCCGAATCTACTTACAAAATATATCATAAATATAAAAGACCACAGCGGCAGATTGCCTGCAATGCAACTAATTTGAAGGGCTGGCAGACCTAGTTTTCTCTGTAAACCAATATTGTATTTAGACCGATTTATGAATAAATATAAACAAAAAAACAATAAAAATACAAATAACTAAACCTAAAATATTTAAACCTTAGAAAGTTTTCTCTAGTTATAAAGTTACATGTATCGACAATAGGCTATAATATCGATAGTTACATGCGAGTACCTACTACGCCCGACAGAATCAACCTTGTAACCGCTGGTGAAAAGTGGGAGTTACATTTAATATGGTATGTGTACCCGACCCAACCCATACATACGTAACGGGGTAGCGTAATGCCTATGTACCAATTATGCTTCTTGGTTTTTTAGGTACTTGCGTTCAGTCCCAAAACATACTCTAGTGCTCAGTAGTTGCAAATAGCAAGACAAGTTTGTAACTGTGATCGATACTCGTAACCTTTGATCATCGGAAACGTCAGCAATAATTCTATCAAGAGTTTTTTTAGCCGGGTTACATTATTCCAGTTATGTAATCCAGCGAGAATCCAGGGTCCTTACAACCACTATCGTAGCTACGTAGTACGGTACCTATATATCCCTTATACTTATTATACTCTTTGATAAAGCCAAACTACTTATATCCACGCAATACGGATGTAATGGGCGCTACTGTTGCAACTCAAAATTACGAAATTTCGCCAAATACCAATTTCGATCGATCGGAATTGGATTCAAGAGTAAGCCACCAGTGCTGGACTGAATCTGTAACGTCTGCATTATTCCGTTGAAGTGTGGATAATGATTTACTGTGGCCTGTGGTTACTGTGTCCATGGACTTACGTATATACGTCGATGACTTTGTCAACCCTAGGTGTCGGCCGTGTACATGGATTCAAAAGTAGATAGACGTTCATATTTATCCAGTAGCAGTGCGACAGTCGCCGCGTCGCATATGTCGTCGAATATGGGCTTCTAGCATGGCTTGAAACTAGTCGAGTTCCTCGTCAAACAGTTACGTGAGAAAAAAGAAAACATAATAATTAATTTAGTATGTCTCACAAAAATTATGTAAACTTAGACTACTATTATTTATTTTCAGCCATGATAGGCTTACTGCAGGGCAAAAAAAAGCCTTCCTATCTTCCTTCCTCTCTATGTAATGGGTTTTGCGGCTAAATGCTAATCTTTGGGGCAGATGTCTAGTTCGTTCCACCATCTCCTTTTTGGCCTTTTTTTTTAAACCGCGTCCTATTGACGTCAATCTTCTCGGACTAAATAATCCATTTAAAGGTAAAAACAATCAAATAAAAACTTGGATATAAAATGGCAACATTTTACCCAAAAGCCAAGAATCCCAATCATGACAAGTCAATGGAATCACGATTAAGTCAAAAATGTCAAAATAAAAATGGCCGCGCATCGCGTGTTAGTGCCTCGCAGTTAATAATCAAGTTTTTCCGTATTACTTGATTATAAAACAATTATAATAGTGATTATAAACATTGAATAGTGTAGTTTATCAGTTTAGTTTAAATACAAATAGTTTATTCATACAAAATGGAATCCGATAGGGATGGTAAACGTAAGAAGGACAGAAACAGTGATGATGAAGACAGACGGAGGGAAAAGAAGACAAAAAGGGCACGATCGAGATCCAGGTCACCAGCTGAGCACCGTGAGAGGGATTCCAGAAGAAAGCGTAGACATTCCAGGTCTGTGTCACCAGAAGGGCCTGTGAAACAAGAAAAACGGTCAGACAAACAGCAGGAGCCCGAAGTAACGAAAGAAATACCACAACGTCGCGTCAAGGAAACAGATATGTTGAATACACGGACAGGAGGTGCTTATATACCTCCTGCACGTCTCAGGATGATGCAGGCTCAAATAACAGACAAATCATCAGTGGCATATCAAAGGTTAGCTTGGGAAGCCTTGAAGAAGTCGATACACGGCCACATCAACAAAATCAATGTTGGAAATATTGGTATTATTATTAAAGAGTTGTTGAAAGAGAACATAGTTCGTGGAAGAGGTTTGTTGTGCCGGTCTGTGATACAAGCACAAGCTGCTTCACCTACATTCACTAATGTGTATGCTGCACTGGTTGCAGCTGTCAACTCCCGTTTCCCTAACATCGGGGAGTTGCTTCTAAAGAGGTTAATGATTCAATTCAAAAGAGGTTTCAAGCGCAATGACAAACCTATTTGTATATCTTCAGCTTCATTCATAGCTCATTTAGTGAACCAGAGAGTAGCACATGAGATCCTTGCATTAGAATTGTTAACTTTATTGGTAGAAACTCCTACTGATGACTCGGTAGAAGTGGCCATTGCTTTCCTGAAGGAATGTGGACAGAAACTGACTGAAGTGTCTTCTAAGGGTGTGAATGCAATATTTGAAATGCTAAGGAATATTCTCCATGAAGGACAGTTGGATAAGAGAGTGCAATACATGATAGAAGTCATGTTCCAAGTGTGGAAGGATGGGTTCAAAGACCATCCAGCTTTGATTGAGGAGTTGGAGCTGGTGCCCGAGGAGGAGCAGTTCACTCATCTCATGATGCTAGATGAAGCCACAGACTCACAGGATATTCTGAGTGAGTTATTGCTTATTATTACATGTTTTTAACTATAATTAATACCATGTATGTGTTAAATAATTTCATTCTTAAGCAGCATCACAAAATCAAATGATTTTGCTATGCCGCTTACTGTTGCCGATACAATTTTAATCAATTGCTATCAAGTTGCATAGCTATTGATAACAACAGAAATCATTGCAGATTATTTACAGTTATTTGATTTATGTTTCAGATGTTTTCAAGTTTGATGACAAGTATGAAGAAAATGAACAGAAGTATAAAACACTGAGCAAAGAGATTCTTGGATCGGATGCTGAGTCTGGTGAAGAGGACGGTTCTGGAGAGAGTGGTAGTGAGGAATCGGACGAAGATGAAGAAGAAGAGGGACAAAAACCAGTTACCATCATTGACAACACGGAAACAAACCTCATAGCTTTACGAAGAACTATTTACTTGACTATCAATTCCAGTTTAGACTTTGAGGAGTGTGCACATAAGCTGATGAAGATGCAATTGAAGCCGGGCCAAGAAGTGGAGCTCTGTCACATGTTCCTGGACTGCTGTGCAGAACAGAGGACTTATGAGAAGTTCTATGGACTTCTAGCACAACGGTTTTGTAATATAAACAGAATGTATATTGGTCCTTTTGAGGAAATATTCAAAGATTCCTATGGTACAGCCCACAGGTTGGACACAAATAGGCTAAGGAATGTTAGCAAGTTCTTTGCGCATTTGTTGTTTACGGATTCAATTAGTTGGGAGGTATTGGAATGTGTGAAGTTAAATGAGGAGGACACAACCAGTTCTAGTCGCATTTATATCAAGATTTTGTTTCAAGAATTGGCAGAGTATATGGGACTGAAGAAACTGAATGATCGTCTCAAGGACCCGTAAGTTAAATATTGTCTATATTACAAATTACTTCTATTCAACCATAACTCATACTTAAATCTAGTTGTTGGTTAATGTAATCTCCATCAAGTTGAGATTGATTATGGCAATAGGGACCCATAACATAATGGCAAAAATTAACATTTAATATTTATGCACCTTCCATGTTATTATTTTCACTTATAACGGTTTAATACCTAGTTTAAGGATCATATCAGATAATAACATTACAGTAATTAAACCCAGGCATTATAAATTATAAAAAAAAAAACAGAGAAAAGGTCCTTATATGGCAATTTATTTGATATTAAGCGCCCCATTTAATGAGCATGTTTCTTTCTTTTCCAGGACCCTGCAGACTGCGTTCTCGGGCATCTTTCCTCGAGATAATCCCAAGAACACGAGGTTCTCCATCAACTTCTTCACTTCCATAGGTCTTGGAGGATTGACAGATGAGCTGAGAGAGCATTTGAAACAGTTGCCTAAGGTTTGTAAATATCAGGATGTGGTGTTGAAAAATACAAATATGTATTAAAAATTGAATTAAAAGTTTCGCAAACCTTTTCTTTAGTAATATTGGTGACGGTAAAATCATATTTTTTTTATTTCATTTCAGAATGTGCCTGCACCAATACCAGATATAACTCTGGGCAGTGACTCCAGCTCGGATTCCAGTTCAGACTCTTCTAGTTCCAGTAGTTCCGACTCCTCATCATCCAGCGACAGTTCCAGTGGTGAGTTTATTGAAATAAAATATGTCTATCTACTAAGCAAATTCCACTCTTAATGTGGTTTGCATTTATGTTATTATAAGTGATTTTTAAATTGATAATCCCATTTTAAATACCATATTTATTTGACATTCTACTGTCTCTACCTACCTTATTAGGAGACACATGTGATAATATTTAAGTTGATGAAATTATTAATTTCACAAAACAATTTACAGAATCCGAGTCAGAGAAAACTAGTAAAAAGAAGAAAGAAAAGAAATCTAAAAAGGATAAAAGCAAAGATAAAGTACCTAAAACGCCTGAACCCGAACCCGAGCCACCTGTTGAAAGGTGGGGACATGATGGTTTCTACGACACTTACGGCAAAGACGCTAAGAGAATGGAAAATAGAAATAACCAACGTCAAGATAGAGACAACTTCACAAGACCTCGGGACTCTAGAAGAAATGACGACAGAATGGATCATAGAAATGGAGATAATAAACGCAGAAGGTATGATGGGAATGAACAAAATGATCGTGACAGCAGGCGCGAGGATAGAGGCGATCGAGATGATGATAGGAGACCAACACACGAACGGTATTGGAATAGTGAAAGACCACGAAATGAAGGCCGAATAAGAGATGATGACAGACAAAATGGAGATGATAGGGAACGTAACGATGATGAGAGAAACCGCAGAGACGAAAGGCCACAAAAAGATAAAAAACGAAGCCGAAGAGATGACAGAGAACGTCAAAATGAAGAGAGAGATCGTTTCGATGATAAAAGAAGCAATGATGATGATAGGACAAAAGATGATAGAAGAGAGCGTAGAGACGAAGACCAAAGGATACAAAACGAAGAAAGAAATCGCAAGAATGACAGGCAACAGAGAGACGAGGCCAAAGGTCGCAGGGATGACGGTGAGGAGAGGAACCGTAAGGAAGATGAAAGAGAATTAAAAAATCGTAGGGATGACGATAGAGGTCGAAGAGATGATGACAGGGCAGGAAGAGATGATGACAGGCGACAAAGAGATGACGACAGGCGACAAAGAGATGAGGTTAGAGAACGAAGAGACGATGGTAGAGAACGTAGGGATGATGACAGGCCACGTAGAGATGATAATAAGGGCCGAGGGGATGATGGTAAAGATCTCAGGGATGATGATAGAGGACGCAGAGATGATGACAGGGTACAAAGAAATTATGGAAGGGGACGAAGAGATGAGGATAAAGAACGTAGGGATAACAACAGGGAACGCAGGGATGATGATAGAGAACGCAAAGATGATCACAGGGCACGACGAGACGATGAAAGAGTACAAAGAGATGATGAAAGGGTACGAAGAGATGATAGTAGGGGACAAAAAGATGAAGAACGTAGAAATAATGATAAAGAACCTAGAGATGATGATAGAGAACGCAGGGATAATGATAGGGGACGAAGGAATGACGATAGACAACGTAAGGACGATGATAGGGCACGTAGAAATGAAGATAGAGAACAAAGAAACATCGACAAAGAAATACCAAATGATGACCCTAGCCGTAACTATGATAAAGAACAAAGAAATGACAAAAGAAATCGTAGAGATGAAAGAGATGAACATAGAGGACGTCAAGAGGATGAAAAAGAACGTAGGGAGGAAGATAGAAGATATCAGGAGGACGATAGGCGTAGAGACTATGAGAGAAGCCGTAAAGATTATGATAAAGGAAGGAGAGATGATAACAATGATAGACCACGAAGAGAGGAGAAAAATTACGATGATAGAGTGCGTGGAGACGAAGATGAAGCTCCCAGAAAAAGTAAAAAAGACAAACAAAATAGAGATGACGACACAAAAAGTAAAAAGAAAGATTTAGAAGAACAAAACGAACAGGATAACCTCAGAGAAGTCGACAAGCGAAAAAAGGATAAATATAACGATAGACAAAAAGACAGTCGCGATGAAGACGAATCTAGAACTAAAAGAAAAGATAACAGCCAAAAATATCAAAATGGAGACCAACAAATTGAAGATAAAGTTAAAAGTATCAAAGATGAAAATGTAGAACATAGATCAAAGAAAAAACAAATTAAGAAAAGGGATAAAAGTAGTAAAAAACATGAAGAAAGCAGCAGTGAAGAGGAAATACCTGATAAAAAAAGTAAAAAGAAACAGTCAAAGGATAAAAAGAAAAAGCCAGTGAGTGAATCCGAAGATTCCTCATCATCATCATCCTCTGATTCGTCTTCATCATCTTCGACGTCTAGTTCATCATCGTCATCATCAGATGACGAAAAGGATAAAAAAGTGTCTAACAGATACTGGGATACTTTAGATGTCATGTCTAAATCTGATTCACAGAAAGCTATTCGCGTTAAAAAACGTTCTTAGCGTTGAATACTTGCGTATGCGCAGCGATGGAAATAAAATATCCATCACGTAACATGACGAGATTTTGTCCTGTAGCAAGTGAGTTCGCGCTTTGTGTATTTACGAAATTATTTTTCACTTTCTACACCACTCTTTTTTATTTCTTGGTCTCATTCATCACCTAATTTTAGATGAGGACCATAAAGTAAGGACAAAATCCTGCTATGTTACGTGCAAAGGACTATATTAACTTATATGTTTTTGGACTGAATTTGAAGTAGGCACTGACATTGCATGGTGTAGTCAAAGGCTTGTGTCGTGTCGCCATGAGTAAGTGCACTGATGAATGTTATACATATTTGTTGATAATCTTAGCAAAATAAATACATATTTTAAAATATATATCAAGAATTTTATTCTCTTGCCCAATAAATTAGAGAATTATCCCTATATATGTTTCAGTTTGACCGTAAGTAACAACATCTAATCATAATAATCTTTGTATTTATTGAATAAATACTCTTTTGAAATCTTCACAATTTCACATGTCAATCCAAAGAGTATAATAAGTATAGGGCACTGGGCACTGTATAGGGGAATGTCAATCAAAGAAATCACAAATTGATAACACATTGTCAATTTTGTTTTCGTAATAAGTAGGTAAATACATAATATGAATTCAACATTTGAATCGAAATCGAGTTACATAGCTCCGTCTGTGCCAGAAGAGTTGAAGATGAGGGCGGCATCAGCTCCTGATCTTTCTAATTCTTCGGATGAAGATGAGGACGAGGTGTCGTTGAAGCCACAGCTGTCAGCTCCATCGTACTTGCATCACTTCAGAGAAAACGAATCTCCGCCCTTTTTGAAACCGCAACTAGAGCCACACCCACGTATCCTGGTAGGCACTATCATGAATAAGGAAGAAGCCGTGGCCATGATCGCGGCTGCTGATGCTGATAAAGAGAATGGGCTAAAAAGGTTTATAGGTACTGCCTACTTTTCAGTACACACATACATTTAGTCTCCATATGAGAGGCTGATACTTCAGAGTGCGCCCTACTTTATGGGATAAACCGGTAAACGAGCAGACATCTGATAAGCAATCGGCGTCTCCCATGGACTTCTGAAACACGAGAGGCGTTACAAGTGCGTTACCGGCCTTTTGGGATTTTGAGGATTATGGGCGATTCGGAAATTAGGGAGACTGGGGAGGGGGGGCAATTGGGCCTCCGGTAACCTCACTCACACGACGAAACACGTGACATACGTTTTCTGTGAGGCCGTGGTATCACTGTGGTCGAGCCGGCTCATTTGTGTCAAAGCATGGCTCTCCCAAACTTAATTCTGCTAAGTATACTACAATTCTACACTACTACAATTCTTTCTTTTTTTATGAATTGATGGGTTCCATTTCTGCATATCGTTAGCGTGTATAGCATACACGCATTTATGCCTATTTTTAGATCACCTACAGTGGCTCAAAAAGTAAAGGTTGTAGGTAAGTACGTCTGCATTCATTTTATGTAGGTATCTCGTCCCTCAGGTAATTTCCTAATAGAAAAGAAAATAGTACACAACTATGCTATACCTGAGAAGAATTTTTTAATTAGTCTCGTGATGGAAGTTATTGATTACTCGGCGCAGCGGGACTTTGATGCGTTCAAACTAGCGGTGCTCATAACGATATATTTGAACTCGCATCTCTACTTCAAATGGTACTACTGGCAGTCACCGACAGCGGTCTGGAGTTACTTCAAGCAAGTTATGATAAGGCATACTGTCGAGGTGAGTTGAGATATAACGTCGCCTATTTTATTCCACGAGGGTGGTAGACTAGATGATTATTTCCTCCCTCAAGTGTGAGCCTATTGCTGAGAATTTAGAAAATCAAATATTTATTGGTTCCACGATTGGTACGATACCACGGTCTGTTCTAAGTGCCAAGCGTTCGATTTCCGTGCAAATAAATACTTTGTAAAGTCCAGAAATCGTTGTTCCGACTTTTCTGTCTGGGTGTGGTAATACAAACATATGTTTGTAAATACGCAGGCGAATATCTTAGTTAACAGCAATATTTGAAAATAATAAAATGAAAATTCCTTTTTACGTACTTCTAGGACACTCCAGATGGCGAGGAAGTGTTCAGAGCCCAGGACTGCTACGATATCATCACCCATTTCCACACAGTATACCTGTCTAACATGCCACTGATTCATATCATCACCTTCGGCACGAATAGACTCAAACTGATTTGGCCTTTCAAGATAGGAGGAAAGTAGGAACATAATCTGAACTATGGAAAAGTAAAAGAATTTTTGATGATGAATTCTTTTGTTTTAGTGGACATCTTCATGTCCACTGCTGAACATAGACCGCCCACTAGTCCTACACTTTCGAAAGATAACTCGCCCTTGTATCCAATCTAATGTCTCCCATAACTGACAATGTTGTTGGACCACCTAGCAGGAGATTTGCATAAAGTTTGTGTGATGATGATGAAAATTAGATATTAATCTTGGAATTTTGTTTTATTATATCCCTAATTTCAAATAAAGTTATATTACTAAAAATTCTTGTGTTTTTTAAAAGTAGCTTAGCTGTAAACTACTATTATTGCAAGGATGACTAAAAAATAAAGGAACACCCATGTGATATGATTCATGTAATGGAATCTAAAGTGTAGCAATTGTGCAAGTGCATGAGAAACAGATTTTTTATGAATATTTAAGCAGATTAATTGAGTAAATAAAAATACAATAAATTAGAATTAAAATTATATTACATTAAAATCAAGCATTACTAACAGCACTCTTTATTTGCTCCTTCAAATGCTGTGGTATTTTTTTCTTTTTTCTTTTCCTAACTTTTCCTTCACTCACACTCTCCGACTTACTTTTATTATTATTATTAACTGGCTTCTTCTTTTTCTTCTTACAAGACAAGGGATTAGGATTGTGGGGCTTTTTCTTTTTAATTGGAATCTTAGGCTTTTCATCCTTTTCTTCAACTCCTAGAACTTTTTTCATAGTTTGTAGTGCTTCATTCTGAGTTTCACTGATAAACATGAATTGGTTTCCTTCTAATGTTTGGCCAGCCTTAGCATAGCTGGCTGGCGAAGGTTTCTCTAATGTGGGAGATTTGTTGTGAAGGTATAAAAGTGGAACTCCTGCTTTTTCTCTAAGTTTGTCCTGTAAATCTCTATCCTGTGTTGCCAGAATATAATGTTTGTCATTTTTCCTACCAATCATAGATAGGATACAGTTGGACCCTCCAATAGGTTCTTTATGATTGCATTCATGTATACCAAATTGCTTCAATATAGTTAGGGCTCCATGAGTCTTCTTTGCTATTTTTTCTGTCTCTATAATTATACATCTTGTAGTCAGTAATTTAGCTTGAGAGTTTAAATATTTTGGGATCTGGTCCCTAATGTTGATGTGTTCCTGAAAAAGGCAAAATTAGGTAATTTAGTAAAAAGATATTGCTAAAATATTACAAAAAGAAGGAGTAAAAAGGTTTGTAAGGGGTTTTATTCAATTGTTTAACCCCTATTACATGGAATTTTATTACCAGTCAGAAGTAAATGTACAAATAAATTTATGAAATTACTAGGAAATGTATAATTGGTGTTGGATTTTAATGAATACGAAAAGAATACCTAGTTTTAAATATTGCTTGCAGCTGGTTCTGGAAAATTCTCTTGCCAGCGGAGACTCTGTTCTTTGAGAGTCAGGTGAGAGTCTGCGCTGTCAGCTTCAGGGTCCGGGAGCTCCTCCAACGGGACCTGGATGTCCTCGTGAGGGAGCTGTTCAGCCCGCCACTCTTCATCCACAATGTCAATCAGACGACCGTTACGGCGGTATTTGCTGTCCATTCTGCGCAAATATTTATTTATTCAAGTTGGTGTATAAAAATCTTTGAAGTGGTTAAGTGGTGGTGGCGTTTGCAAGCAATATTTAAAACTAAGTCTTCTTTTATTGAGTAGATATTTAAGAAGACTTACTTTAAAAGCAGCAAAACAAAACGTGCCGTCCAGCAAAACTTGGTATGGTTGGTGAAAACCGTAGTTGTTGTAGTAGAACTTAAGATATTTCTGAACCTTTTTATATCTGGTGATCTTCATGGTTTAAAATTGTTATACGAACCTTTCAGTTTATATTTTGAGAAGAAATAAACGGAATACCATGACAAAATACACCACGAGCGTGAAAGCAAATGTCAATACTGCTAATGTCAAAATTGTCTAATTGATGACATTGATAAAATATTGCCTGAGAAAAAATGGAATAAAAGAACTCAACCATAGATAGGTCTATGGTCTATGGCTAGTCATGAACTTATATTTTGGAGCATCTAAATATTTGCATCATTTACTAAATAAGCCCTAGATGTAAAATCTAATTATTTGTCACAAATAATAGTCATATTCATAATTATCGAAATCATAGACAATATGGGATTTCTTAAAATGACGTATACTAAACCATAGACAGTTTTTTGTGAAATGAAACGTCTCGCTCGCTCTCTCGCTTCCATGTTTGTTCGTGGTCATTTTGCATTTCTGTGCTAGATTTTCCAGTTTAGCATTTAAAATTAATGATTTTATTCATTAAAGTGTGTAATTAATGATATTTTCGGCGATACGGCGACCTCTTGAGGATCTGTCGCCCAAGGAAAAGTGCAAAACAGCGGTATAATAACAGGGAGGGTACGTCTTTCATATCCTTATAATCAAGTAAATGCGTCATTTTATCCAATATTGTTTAAGAGTGTTCATATAATGAGAAGATTAGTTGTATTGTTCTTCTAAGTAGTCGTCTGGACAAAGTGATCGGACGCGTAGATGACTACGTCGAGTGCTTTTATGACATACAGCTGATTCCGATGAGGGCGTCTCTATGTAATTTTTAATCGTCCGAGTCGAAGGAAACGCTATGATACGGGCATAAGCGGTTAGTCATCATCATAACAGACACGTTTTTGGTGCGCGACAGATAAATTGATCGAGAAATTATATTATGTAGGTCCGGCGAACTGCGCCGAATAGTGGCTGATAAGTGTCATTGTTAATACCTTTTGTTTCTTTGTGATTTCGCGACGATACGGACGTGGAGATAACAATTTCTTGTTTACCGTTTTAAGCCAGTCTTTATTACGCTCGCTTTCGTAGTTCTTCAACTCTCAAGGTTTAAAAAAAAAACAACAAATTGAATTCTTTGTCAATGTGCATGGGTGATTGATCATTAGTTTTAGTTGTAATTGCAAGACTTGTCAATGGTGTCCAACTGTGTTTTTGTAGGACTTTTATCTGGTGAGTACTGGTTAGTAAAATACTAAAACCTGCAAGGTTATCATCTGAACATGGCTCTGCAACTTTTCTATAGTAAACTGGATAATTAAAAGTGAATAATGATTTGTCATAAAGTACTCCAAAGTTTTTTATGACCAAGTTGTATTGAAATGAATCATTCTCGACAAAAAGTACACAAGTAATCATCTTTGAGTAAATAATTGTTTAATTTCACTTGCTCATTTATTATCTGTGGAAGTTTACAAACTAATTTTATTATACCTTTAAAATATAAATGATATAAATAGTTTTTTTATATAAAATAATTTTTTATATATAATAAAAAACAACCATTTTCTTCTAAATCAGCTTGAGATGTCATCATCTATTTACACATTTAGATAAACTTCTATTATGTTTGATAATAAGAACTCAAAGACTTGAAAATAAAAACAATCATACCACTTCCTGGAATTGCTTACAGGCTATGTTGTTGTTTAAATTTGAATCACCCAAAGGTCAAAACTGGTTTTCAATTAGTCAAATGGCTTTTTAATTAATGTAATTTTAATTAGGTAATATAGTTTAAATAGCTTAATTTCTTCATGATTAGCAGGCATTAAACTATAATTTATTAATAAGAAAATAATTGCTGTAGTGTTAACTTAAGTTTAAATGCAGCTGAAGGAACTCAGTGTAATTTTTACCTCAATAAAGGTCAGAGCTTAGTGTGTTAAATAATCTGTGGTAAACATGTCCTATTTTAAAGAAAAGCCTGCATTGTCTGTGAGTATACAGCCTTATTTTCTATTTCAATATGTAAAGAGGCTATATTGACATATTCTGAAAATAGTTTTAATATCGTGAACGTGTTTACATAACATGGCATAGACATAACATTATGCAATATTTACTAAGTAATAATTCACACTGATTAGTTTATATCATGTATTAATTAGTTACTAAAGATTTATGTTGGATTACAGAATTTAAAACTTTATTTCCTTGTTCTATTAACTAATCTACATTAAAGATGTAGGCCACTCTATTATTCTGAACTAGCCTTTATGTCATTTGTAATAAATATAGTTTTTATTGGTTGCCATATAACTTAATGTCTAATTATAATATTAAAAGGGTTTTAACAGACTTCAATAAAAAGAATGTTCTCAGCTTGACCTGAATGTATGTGCGCGATTATCTTGCGATTGTTGGTTACACTTAGGAGAAGGTTTTAGTATATTAATTAATCAACTTCAAAATAGAGGGAGTTGAAGTCGGTCTTTAAAATGTACTTTATAAATGAATTATTTGTTTAGATAACTTGGTCAACCATAAAGATTTGATGTAAATATATCAATTGTTAATAATTTGTTTATGTGATATTTTGACATAAATTATAAACTTATACAATCTCTTTTTACCATTTACAAAAGCAGTTGATGTTTTTCCACCAAGAGAAGTGTATGAATTTTAAAATGAACATTCTCAGTGGTTTATAGTAGTTGAACTACATTATTTAAGATTTTCCCTGTCCTTATTATTTTGAATGGGGCTTAGTATTTCTTACAAAGAGGTTTTTAGTGTGAGTTGTTACTGTCTATCTGCCTTGCATGGTGATATTTTTATGTTAACTCGTACAAAATCATCTGATATAAATCCCCAAAATTTCTTCATACATAATTAGTCTCTAAACATCGGAAATAAGGTCTATAATGGAGTTAGTGGGGAGCGGTCACCGGTGACTGCTTGGGAATTGATCAGTAGAGACATTTTATTTTATCCAGATATCAGGTTTAATACAAATGATGTTTGTTCTGTCTGTTTCATCACCTGTAATTAAGTTACAGCTAACTTAACTACCACATAAACTGTCATGTAATTTAGCATGGAAAATATGTCAAATAATTCACCAGTGTAAACATGACTGTTAAATGGTGAAATATAACGTAAATAAAGTTCAAATTTGCATAAAAGAAAAGCATTTTCTTGAAATTTCCAATCTTTTTATGCCACTCTGATGTGCATTTGCCAGTTTTTTTTCAAGATAACATGATTTATGTCACTAGGACATGATAAATCATACACTATCTTTAAAGTTGTATGTTTTTATTGTTATTGTGAGAAACAGGACGGCCATTATGAAGTCATTGACTGTTCCTTTCCTTCTCACACCTTTGTGTTGGAAGCAAAGATAGAACTTTCTTTTTTTATCTTATTTCAGTAAGATAAACAATGTATAATCGTGAATTGATGTACTTGTGTGCAGTATGTATTTATGTAAATGTGTTTGCATGAATAATTTATTTTTCGTACCTACATAATTATGTGTTATTTCAGTATTCAGAGATTTTCTGCACACTTACAAACTTTTATTTTGTTGCCAGGATGCTATGTTAATATTAAGTCCTAAATAAATAGTACTAACTAGCACTGTACGAGGTATAATGAACTTAGATGTCTTTTCCCACAGTCTACTTTTTCTTTTCCTTTAATTTATGGTCAGTTTCAATACTTCTTACTTACTTTTTTAACTGGCTGTTCACACTAGTTAAATTAAAAAGGTTTTCATAAAGTAGTTAAATAACATTGATATTTAAGGTTGGATCTCAGCACAATCATTATAATTAACAATCATTTGCATATCCTGTGCAAGTCTGTATGCCTTCCTGCCTCTCATAAACATTTAATTTTTTTTATTGAAACTCCTTGTATACTACTTTGTTATATTTGCTTTGATTCTATTAAACTGTCAAACACCAAGCGGTCACCGGTGACCGCAACCTATTGTTTTTTAATTGTGTCTATAATGACGGTGAATGTAATTATCTCGCTTTTTATGCTCTGAAGGTATAAGCTGGGTAGTTCTAAGTCTTCTTGTTTAATGTGGTCCTTAACTCGTCGAGTACCGGTTTTATAGACACAATTAAAGAACAATAGGTCGCGGTCACTGGTGACCGCTTGGTGTTTGACAGTTTAATGATATTTTCTAATTACTTTTGCAAATAATAACAAAATAATTTAAGTACTTGATGAATAATATTTATTTTTGCAACCAGGCCATAAAATAGAACTTACACATCAAGAAGTTTCAATTAATTATAAAATAGTAAAGTTAGAAATCTGGATCAGCTAACAAAATTTGGGATGAAACAAAAAATCCGATCTATTGTGTTTTTCTATCTATCCGGTTATCGATGTTTTGTTAGAGTATGAGTCACGATTGGTTTGAGCAATTTTTTCACGAAATTATTATTAGTGCTTGTCCAAATGATAGGTCAGTTGACGCCCATAACATACCGCTATCTCTTATCAGTAACAAACGGATTTAACAAGTGAATTGAAGTAAACCACGTGTTTTACCATTTTTGTTGCTATGTCGTATTAATAAGAAAATAAAAATTTTCGCCTAGGCTTCATATTGTTATAGTCTATTTTAGGCTTCCTAATGTCCGTAGTGAAACCTATCTCTTAGCATATTACTTAACTCATCATTAAACCTGTCGAATATAATTCCATAAATCATTTTATTACTAATCAAACCTAGTTTTCTATCATTGGATTTAAGCAATAGATAGGTATCAATTAAGGATCAAAATCTACTAAATATCAAATTCCTCTTGCCTGTTATGTACATGATGCATAAGTATACACATGTCTTACGAATATCATTGACAATTAAGACAAAACATGTTAACCAAGTGTATCATAGTCTAGGTAATTGCACTTGACTTGAATAATATTTTCACCGAATCGACCTGTTGTCGCTTCCCCGCGAACTGAAGGTTACTTTGTTCGACGTGCTCTCAAGGACGAAGTTATTATTTAAAGCCTATGAAATATGCTTGTTTCAAGGTGCCACTTGTTTAGCTAATTCCTATTTTTACCTGTCACGTTTATTTTAGTCTTTGAGACTTAAACTATTGTTTAAAATGAGTTAAACAGTAAGTTGTTGACTGATAAGTCAAGACACGTCCAAGATTGTGCCTATCACTTATTGAATTAATTTCTCAGAAGTTCATAAGACAATGATAATGACGTAACGTTATTATCGTATTCTTATTATAAGATGATACAAGCTAAGTCTATAAATGTTTGCAGGCGATGGCGACCAACAGGAGCGGTGCGGCGCAGCGGCCGAACGGCGCGCCACAAACGAAAGTCTGTCAGTTCAAACTGGTACTCCTAGGAGAGTCAGCAGTGGGCAAGTCTTCTCTAGTACTTCGATTCGTCAAGGGCCAGTTCCACGAGTACCAGGAGAGCACGATCGGCGCCGCTTTTCTGACTCAGACCGTATGCCTCGATGACACCACCGTCAAGTTTGAAATATGGGACACTGCGGGGCAGGAAAGGTATGATATACACTACTCTATTTATCCCTCTGAAAGTGACACAGAACACTGAACTAACCCCACTGGGTTATTCCTCCCAGAGTAGTCGGTAAATGCATGAAATCTTTTGCTTTCATTTTAGAAATCCCTTTAGGCTATGACTAAAACTTTGAGAATTTGGACTGGGGTTTTTTACAGTGATTTTTGTTATCTAAAAATGTTACAAACATCCATTCATATTATATGCATCATCACAAACAGTTTAAAATAAAATATTAGGATAAAACCCTCGTTCTGACTCGAAACTATCGGACATTGGACCATTCACCTCAATGAAAAACAATGAATACATGAATGAAAGAGAAAATACGAAAAATAAAAAGTTATGTTACTGACTGATAAGATAATGTGATAGCAATCATGTCTACTAACTGATTACTAAATGTAGGTAGCTCCTATAATTCTGGACTTAAATATAACAATACTTGAGGAAAATGTATTGTAAAAGGATCAAGCCTTGAATCTTTAAATAAGTAAATTGCAATCGATAAAGAAGACAAAAAAAAATTATTAATTTAGATCTCTTAATGTTCAGAATATAACGTTAACATATAAGGTTAATGGTCCCTGTTGGTTACACCCCAAATACAGCTAGGGTCCTAAGATACCTTGATAAAAGTAAAGGTCCCAAGAGCCTAGCTAAATACCTAGAATACTCATTCTGGAATTGTGACCAGACCAGTATAATTATGGCAATAGACTCACCCCCTATTACATGGTATTTATTACACACTAACGACCCGCCCTGGCTTTGGTGCAATATGCATGTATTATACATATAAACCTTCCTTCAGAATCACTCTATCTATTAAAAGAAACCGTATCAAAATCCGTTGCGTAGTTTTAAAGATCTGAGCATACATAGGGACAGACAGACGGCGGATAGCGACTTTGTTTTATACTATGTATTGATCTAGTAAAAAAAGGTTGTCCCATTTTTTTGTATGTGCACTCTGCCTGTCCCTTCAGAGATTTAAAAGCTTCTAGTATAAGCATAATAACATCACGCATTTTATCCTCGAAGGGGTAGGCAGAGGTGCACATTATACCACTGTAAAATGTAACACCCACTTTTCATTATTTATGTTATGAGTCCCATGTAATAGGGGGTGAGCCTATTGCCATATACCGGGCACAGTTTCAGACTCCGTGCTACTACTGAAAATTTTTTAAAAACCCAATAATACTTTGCCCGACCCGGGAATCGAACCCGAGACCCCTTACCCGGCAGTCGCAATTGCGACCACTCGGCCAACGAGGCGGTATAAGGTTCTAGGAGGAGGCTTCTAGTATAAGGTTGTGTCGCGGAGAACCTAACGGGTAACCGGGGCTCCGGCTCGACGTGCAGGAGAAGGAACGGGGTGGTTTTTAGTCAGTAAGAGTCTGACACTCCCTTCCGCCTCACTCAGACGGGAGCAGTCAATCAATGATATTCCCCACTTAAAAAAAAAAGTATAAGGTTGTAACAAAATATGTGTTGTTCTGCAGGTATCACAGCTTAGCGCCTATGTACTACAGAGGCGCGCAGGCGGCTATCGTCGTATATGATATTACTAATCAGGTAAATATTTTATTTAATTAACTTAATCCGAATTATGAAATGACTTAGTGGCAGTACAAATGTTACAATCATTCTTTGTGCGAAATTTCGTAGTCACATAAAATTATTATTATTTAGTACTAAGATTTGTAGTTATCAAATTTCGAGCTAACGGAATTGATTAACGTCTTTACAAAAGTAATCTATTTATCTAGCCTACAGTCATCTATGCTCCAAAACTCGCCCTTATTGCTTCCGTAATAAAGACGCTGACGATAGCACGCGACGGCTCGGAACAAAAAGTATAGAAAAGTGGAGTAAGGCCGGCTGCTCGTTAGATACGATCATTGTATCGTTCAATCAATTGAACGAACGAACTTCCGTGGTTAAGTTTGAGATCGAAATAACATTCAGTATTTTGAATGGAGTTTTATCGTACTTGCCATACCTAATCCCCATGGTAGGCAGGCGAATTGGAAATCAAAATGTTAGTTTTCGAAAATTAGGAGGAACAGGTTTTTAGAAATAGCTGGACCTTATTTTTAGGTCCAGTTTGTAGTTGAAACATTCTACACAAACCACAAAGATACATCCGACCGCATCAAATAGCAGTTTTCTGTTTCTATTCTCTTGCTGTGTCTTAGACGGTCTTTGCCTTAGTTACTTAGGAGACATTGATTCCCCTTCAAGAATGCTAGGCTCGTGTCGCTTGTACAAACCTTCTAAAAGTAATTTAAGTGTGGGAGAGCCATACTTCGTCATGAATGGGCCTTCTCAACTGGAGTGATACGACGGTCGAGCAGTAAACCGACGTGAAACAACACTTGCGTTGTGTTTCGACGTGTGAGTGAGGTTACCGGAGGTTCAATTACCCCCCTCCCCAATCCCCAAATCGCCAATAATGTTCAATTTCCTAACCCCCAAAAGGCGGGTAATGCACTTGTAGCACCTCTGGTGTTTCGAGTGTCCATGGACAGCGCCGATTGCTTACCATCAGGTGATTCGTCTGCTCGTTTACCGGCTTATTCCATAAAAAAATAGCAGACAAAACTTGCCACCTAATATAGTGTATTTTTCTAAAAACATACAAAGATCATAGAGCCTTGTACTGCAAACATCAACCATCGCGTAAATCGAATGACCATGGACAAAACTAGTTCAAGTTTAACGTCCATTCGACACGGCTCACGAACATTACCCGCGCAACACTTCTGTTAAAATATTGATAACAGATAAAAGTACTTTCTTTATTCAATCTTTGACTAGAATTGAAAGCATCCTCTGCTAAAGTCGGTCACTGATGACCCCCTTTAACATGGTAAAGAGATATGAAACTACCTCATCCGGCCAATTTATTACTATAACATCATAACATCACGCATTTTATCCCCGTCCGCGCAGAACCTAAGGGGTTGCCGGGGCTCCAGCTCGAAGTGCAGGAGTAGGAACGGGGTGGTTTTTAGTCAGTAATAGTCTGACAATCCCTTCCGCCTCACCCAGGCAGAAGAAGTCTTTAGATGATTTTCCCCCCTTAAAAAAAAGGGGGTAGGCAGAGGTACACATTCCAGCACTTAATGCCACTGTACAATGTAACACCCACATTTCACTATTTATGTTATTTCTTATTTTTGCATATTATTGTTTAATTCGTAAATGTAAACATAATGTTAGATAACCTAAAATAATCCCTAAAAACAGACTTTTACAGTAAAAACTCTTTGGACCATTAGTTTAAAAGATAATCACGTCCAACCAAAGTTCAACTTTATTATGTTAATTGTTATGCTTAAAATCGTTAATTAATTTAAAACTAGTATTGTGACTTTGTTTACAAAAATGTAAACTTGTTCATCTATAAATAGTCATATTTCTGTATTTGACACACATCCTTGAGGGTCTCAAATAGTCTCATCTTAATGTAATATGACCTACATGGTCAAGTTTGATGGCCAGTAGGTAAAGGTTGAACATTATTTACTTATTTATTTAGTGACATCGATCTAATGATAGTAAAGGTTCTCATACACTGAAGTGTAACAAACAATTTGGTGATTTTTCATTCCAAATGTATATTAACTACCGTATTAAGAACTACTAGTTTTAGATTTGTCTAATATCTGGTCCAGTCCATTTTGTTATGGATATTTGCATTCAATGTTATTTTGCATTCGTCGTTTTCAAAAAATCGCCTTCAATTTTTATGAATTCACTTGTAAATAAACAGGCTTCTATCTTTTGTTCTTCCGTTCGGTCTTTGTCACGGCTTGAGACCGGAAGTATACGTAAAAGTAAAACTGCAAAGACAATGAAACAGCGTGAGATACGAGGAGGCTCGTCTTGTAGAACAAACGTACTTAATTAGTAACTAAGTAACCAGTCACGCGACCAAACAAATGATGGATATCACCTTTTGTTCTCGCCAGTTGGCGCCACTGGCGATTAAAGTCCTCTCCCATATAAGTTATCCATTATAGGCTCATCCCCTTTTACCTGGAATTTATAACGTAACTAGCGGAAAATGGGGTTGTATTTACCCTATCGAGGGATGTTATTGTAAGTCTATAAGGCCCCACTACTTCTACCAGTGTTTCTTGACAAACAAATCTTAATACATTTACATAAATAACTGGTCTCAAGAAAATATCAAGTTAAATCAGGCTCGTTCAACAAACATAGATGTTTAGAACACAATCACGTCACGGATAATTAAGAGTACTCACTACAAACAATGGCGCGGTATTTTACTTGCAATTGTTAAAAAATGGCAGAGAAGTGAATAGATATTAACTTGATGCTTAGCTGAACATGTCGTAATCACGTAGATTTAAATACCTTTCAATTCAATATGTCTGACGCAGTGACTGGACTGCCGTTGATCCATAGGGGCGCCGCACACACGCCGTCTTATTTTCGCACTCGTTCACGACCCTGTGCCAACGTCGCTTTGACTTTGATGGGTACGGTCTACCGAGTCGTATAACATCAGTCAGTATACCTACTATTCGTAGACGAAAACAAAGCAGCATGGACGCGAACGTGTCCACCAATGTAAAGCGACATTATCGTGAACGAGTGCGAGTGTTGACAAGTGCGGCGCCCCATAGACAGTAATGCTTTGTATGATCCACAAATCGTTTGTCCGGGATTGGGTGTAAACGCATTCTATATTTTTTTTATACACGAGTTAGTAAAAAACTGATATGTGACTTGAATGTAAAGTAATTTGCTTTATTGTCTGATGTTCATATATCAGATATGGTGTCTAGTCGATTAGACATTGATTGAAATCTAGAAATCTAGGAAGACAATTATTGTTTATTCTCAATCAGTCTAAGGAATGTTTTATTGTCGGAATTGCGTCAAATAATTTTATCAATATTTAAATGTCTTGGATTAAATGTTTAATGTTTTCATAATCGTAACACCGTCTATTATACTTAATAGTACGTAGATAAGATAATAATAATAATGTAGTTAATAAGACTTGTACACATTTGCCAGTATTATTTATTTATATATTTACTTATCTATGAAGAAATATAATTGTAGGTATTCATTACGAGTCATATTGCGCATGAAATGCTAGGAAATATCTCCATTAATTAATTTTACATAAATCTTGCAAAAAACAAATAAATTAAACTGCAGGTGTGACCAATTAAAATACGGAATGCTTTTTATAAATCAAATTATGTTATAAATATAAGATCATGCATTATTAATACCATAGCTAGATTTTTAGAAATTTTTACAATCAACAGAATAGTTCACCATCTAAAATGCTGCCAAAAATTCAATACACTACAGGCAAACGTGACGACACTTTCCCACCAAATTGACGTCCATTTTTAACAGGTTGAAAGCCATGTGGGCCACAATAGCCGAGGATTCGACCTCGGAAGTTTTCTGTCGATAGTCTAAGCCTTTTTTAGACGAGAAAATATCATCCAATGACTTCTCACTGCTGTAGGTGAGGCGAGAGATCGGTGTCAGAGTCTTACTGACTAAAATTCACCCAGTTCTTACTCCTACTTCGAGCCGGAGCTCCGGCAACCCTTTAACCCGTCGTTTGCCGGAACGTAGATCTACGCGAGACATAATGCATTTTCTATTGTGTCTTATATACCGGCAGTCAAGAGGTTAAGAGTTCCGTCTTCATAAAACAGTTTGCGAATACCGTGATTTAGAACCATCATCTTTGGACGCACGACACGTGTGCGAACATTTTATAAACAACTGAACGTTCGTTTCAAACGTTACACGCTAGTGGGCGGAGACCTTTACCAAGAGGGTGTATCATGCTTTAAGTGTGAGAATAGGATTTTATTTTTTTCACCTTCTCTGTAAGTTGTGAGTCTATTTAGTAATTGAGACCAATTTTATATAGTTAGTAAGCTAATAATGCTTTCAGTTTGACATTAATTTTATGATTATCTGAGTTTTTACCAGTGACGGACTAACATAAAATATGTCCAGTCCATAAACTTATTGTTTAGAAAAATAATTATTTCTTTGAGAAATATTGTATTTTTATCTTTATATTTTTGTCTTTCTTGACCCAATGAGTCACAGAGCTCAAAATAAACATTTCGATGCTTTTTAAATGTAATTTCATTTTAATCAATATTAAATTATTATGTTTTCGGCTTACTCACGTAATTATTTGACGAGGAACTCTACTAGTTTCAAGCCATGCTACAGTAGCAGCGCGACAGTCGCCGCGTCGCAGGTCGCGAAATGCTGCTCATGAATATGAGCCTCTAGCATGGCTTGAAACTAGTCGAGTTCCTCGTCAAATAATTACGTGAGTAAGCCGAAAACATAATAATTAATTTCTTATTAGGTAGAAATTAATCAATATTCGCTCAGATTGTTGGAAGAACTAACAAAAGAAAAAGACTATCAATAAACCTTTAATGCTATAAAAAATATCACAGATGGAGAGCAAATATACAACACAGTTGAAGAAATGCATTGCTATCGTTGATATAGAGCGAGTTATCAGATAACGTAACAATTAT